ACAAGATAATGGACCTCTGTCTGCTGGTGAACCAGAGAGAGAGAGAGAGAGAGAGAGAAAGCACTCTTTCTACTTTACATATACAGTGCAAGTACAAGAACTTCAAACTAGCTGTTGCATTGGAGTTGAGTGATGGACAATGAGATGCTGTTTGACGAAGATAATGGTGGAGTGGCACATTGCCAGCATTTCAGTTTCCATGTTTAATCATGCATCTGCCCTTGGCTAAAGATGCATTTGTGTATAATGTTTTCATTCTATTCCAATTTGAGAAATCACATGCAGACTGAAATTGCTGTTCTTTGATAAATAATATCCAGTTTGTCAGATCCACAGTCTCCTTTTTGAGTATCTAATGACTTCTAATTTCAATGACCGGTATTTATAGAAAACTTCTGAAAACTGACAACATTTTTAAATTGAAATATAATCAACAATACGTTTCTGTAATAACCAGAAAACTCTTGAGTGCCGCTGTCTTGTCTGGGGCAGAAGCAATTTAAAAACCAAAGGCCCGAAGTATGTTTCTTTTTTTTATGCAGCCTTGTCTTTGACATGTATGCAAAGAGATCAATAGGACAAAGACTGTCCAAATCACATGTCTGAAAATCTAGAGAAATAGTTTCTGTTGTCCCTATAACAACTGTCCATAAACTTTCATCCTCTTTCAATAACCTAACGTAAGAATATGTGACCTGGTACTGTTGGATGTTAACTCTCTACAAAGACTGAGTGTGCAAGCTTTTAGATGACTGCCAGATGCCGAATCATCTTGTTTGTGCTGTTGGTGGTTTTGGGTGTTATCGTCGCTGTTTGTGAGAATCCACCCTCAAGCAATGGTTCTACTCCTCTACAGTCATCAAAGAGTCAGATGCCCTGGAGTACGTTGGGCCTAATTATCTTGGATATTATATTACTCAAGCTATCATAGAGGATTGGATTTCTAATTTGCTAGGCATAATATCATGAACCTAATCTGATCCCAAAGAATCTTCTTGCACGCACAAGACAGCTTCAAGTAGGTCTTTAGGTGGCACCGTATTACAGTATTTACCATTTCATCAGTGTCCAAATAAAACACCTAGTCAACCTGTAGTTCCAGCCAAATTCTCTGCACTTTTTTCATGGTCATTGACTCTCTCAATGAATGGTAATTCAGTTCTCTCTTAAATGTATTAATTGACCCTATATCGTCTATTTTTTTGTTTCTCCTTTCCAAGTAAATATGAACCTGTCTTAAAATAGGAGTTCCAAAGGTATCATGTATCAATTTAATATTTTGAAATGCAGATTTAACGTAGGAAATGGAATAGTCAATTTGCTAATAGCAAGATCCCAAATCAGCAGTAACACAAAGACGCGCCAATGCTGATTGAGGCATTAAAACTGGCCAGGACACGCAAATTTCTTAGGTAATTTCTTAGGCTGTTGTTTCAACTTTTAATGTCTGGCATTAGCAAATAGCACCCAATTGTCTAACTTGGATCATGATATTTTATACTACAGTCCTTATGTGTGCATTTGTCCAAATTCACTTGCTTACTTCCCCCTTTCATTATTTTTAAAGGGCACAGAGAACTTATCTCCACAATTCAGTCCTCTAAAACCTGACATCCCCCATGATAATGTTTCCAGTGTATCTCTACTTTTTTGGTGTAAACTGACCCAATTGCACATAATAGTACACATTGACCTTGAGATTGGTTTGTACAACAGTTCTATTATTTTGAGTAGAATGACTAAATGCTTTCAGGATCTGACTTCCTTCCCTGAATTACGTTAGTGAACTAGATGAGTTTTTACATCGATTCATTTATTACTGTTGATAGCTTTTTAATCCTAGACTTGTTTATTTAACTAATTTGATTCATGTTTCTGAAATATCAATCCAGACATCTGAGTTACTTGCCTGGTAACGTAACCATGCTACCATAGCCTGTGGTATTAATAAATCTGCACCAGGTTGCCTGTCTTAAAAACATCAAGGTTTTTTTTGCACAGATTACTTGTATTGAAAACAAAGCTAACACAAAATGCTGCCAAAACGCACCAGATAGTGGGAGGTTTTATAATTGACAGTATGCATGTGAGTTTCAGGGGGAAACAAGGAAAAAAAAAAAGCTTTGATTCCTTTAAAAGCGCCAGTTTTGTGTGCAATTTGTGCAAAATGGGGATGGCACCCAGATTATAAAGTCTTTGCCAATACATGCAAGTCTTTGGCCTCTGGTTATTCACCTGCTAGCAGGGTATGAGTAGGTTTTCTCATTTACTCTTATCAAAATCTTTAGTCATTGTGAGGATCTTCATTAGGCCACTTCTTAAACTTCTCTGTTGCAGTTCTAACTTAAACCAACCGCTTTCAATTGAAATTACTCCTCAACACACTTTCTGGTTTCATTTGTGTGCAATGTGATGATCAGAAATGTCTATTACCTAGCTGGGGCCTAACCAATGATTTATAAAGTTCTGGCATGGTGTCTGCTTTTATATTCTATGTCTCCAATTCTAAACTCATGCTTTACTAACTAGCTTAGTAATGTGTCATCTCACCTTTCAAAGTTTGTGAATACAGATATGGAGAATTTGCTCTCTCTGTCATTTTTGCCATCTATTCTTCCAAATTACATCACTTTATATTTCTCCATATTGAATTCTGTGTGTCATTCTTCAGCCCATTTCACTGTGCTGCCTGTTATCTTGAAATTCAAAAGTGTCTTTGCTACTGCCAAATGTTATGAGATTGATCATCTGCATATTTTATAATGCTGCTCGATATTTTCTAACCAACCTGTTCAGAGATGCTGCTTATACTGAGTCTAGGTTGTTTACAAAAATTAAAAAGAGGAATGAACACGGAACTAATCTTGAGTTAACACCAGTGCAAACCACCTTCCAGTGTAAAAATAAAACATCTATCCACCTCTGGTTGTTGATTCTCATCACTAAGCAAATTTTGCATTCATATTATCATGCTTAATTCCATCAATTTGCATTTTTATTTTTGTCAAGCAAAAGCATATCTGTGAAAAAGAATATTGGATAAACACCAGATAGTAGAAAGAAATGCAGGACTCTGGGGAAAGGACTCTGTCACCTTTGCAGCGAGCCAGCATGAATGTGGTGGGCCAAATTACTGCCCTCTGAGCTGTAACCATTCCATGAACTAGAAAGTTAGGAAAAGCTGACATTGATCCATGCTGGTTGATGACTTAAGTAGCAGTCTGAATTTGGACTTCATTGCACAATTGAAGCCCCAGTGTACTGGTGTCTTGTCACAGCCTCAGGTTATTGAAGGGGAAGTGTTGAAAGTGTACAAAGGATCTTTTTTTTACAAGATCAAATTAGAAATTATTAATTATGCACCTCACACTTACCGAGCAAGAATTTGGTTCGAGTCTCTTCAGAAACTTTAGAATTTTGGCATGTTTATTAATTGTTTTAAAACATTGCCAAAGTTCTGTTTTGAAGTAGATAGATTATATCTCTTTGAAGGATTACAGATCACTAGGTATGGGAAAGTGATTTTGAAACATTTTAGAAACTAAGGAAAGAGGTGCAAATATAATTATTTATCTTCTAGTTTTTTTTGTATTGATTTATATAATTTCACGATGGAAACACTGAAATCAGAAAGTATACAAAGATTTGGTTTGCAGGAACAGGCATGCAGAGCAATTATTTTTCCTCTCTCTTGTCGGTTAACCTGATTGCCCTAACTCTGGGATTTTCAATCTCTGTTGCTGTTATTATTTAATATCATTCTCCCATTTCCCAATGAATGTTCACTGCTCCAGTATGGACATGATGGCTACAGACCCAAAACTGCTTTGAGTTACAGAAGGCATTCTAAGTTATCCAGAATTGGCCAATAATTTATGTTTATGTTAATGCATTTGTACATTGTTGTAAAATTCCCTGCATAATTCTATTTGTATATTGCTGAAAAAGAAACAGTTCATTAAAGATTTTCTTCTTGTAATTAGCGGGACATTTCACAAGAATATAAATTTAAGGAGTTGAAGGGAGATGTGATACAGTTTTTCAGTTTTTCAGTTTTTCAAAATGAAGTATCTGGACTGAATAGATAGGAGAAATTGTTTCTACTCATAAAAGGAACTAGAGGGCACAGTTTTAAAGTATTTTACAAAAGAAGAAAATGTGAGGTGAGAAAAAACTCAGTGGGTAGTTTGGGTTTGCAATGCAATGCCTGAGTGTGGTAGAGGCAGGCTCAATTGAGGCATTCAAGAGGGCATTAGATAATGATTTAAATAAAAAGTAATGAGTAGAATCTCCCAGACCCCTAAATGATATGGCTAGTGGTGAGTCAGTTGGTAAAATATGCTGTGATTGGAAAAATAAATATCTTGATGTTGAGTGCCAAAATATCCAATTTGCCACTTAATGTTTTAATGTCGATGTGAAAATTTCACTGGTAAGTGGCAAGAGGCCAGATGTATACATTAACATCTGATTATTGCCTAGTCTAACTTCAATTATGTGGAATTTAGTATTCACCATGCATGGAGAAAAACTAGCGAGTGCTAGTTTCTGATATGGAATTCTTCATGGGTACCTGGCAGTCCCAGCTCGCTGCTTGCTTCTCCAGGCCTTCACCTGTTCGGACAACAACTGATAACTTTTAGCTCAAGATTCAAAAAGCTGATTTTGTTTTTACCCCTGTGCTGGTGAGGATATACTTTGCACATGATGTTCTCAGGAGCTTAAATTGTTGTGGAAGACCAAATGCAAAATGTATGATGATGTGTTCTGTTGTGCGAGGTGAAATTAATAGAAAGATCATTTTGTTCTGTAATGCCTCTAATTTCCTTCATGTATTTTTGCAGGCATGTTTGGTCAACCCATTCATTTAATGAGCGGTTTCGAGAGACAGAGCTTGTTTGAACTATTTAATGCAAAACATTTTCTTTGAAATCTTCAGTTTGTTACTCATGAACTTTTGTGTACAATAATTTATTTTTGTTTGTTTTTCATTTCTTTAGGGAGCTTTACCAAAGTATTCCCATAATGCCCTAATGGTTCAAGCCATGAAGACCAACCTGACAGATCCAGATATCCATATATTGTTCTTTGATGTGGAAGCTCTGATCATCCAGTTGCTAACAGAGGAAGCATCCAGACCCAATCCCACGCTTATTTCCCCAGAGAGCCTTCAGAAAGCACCAGGCAGCACAGACAAAAGCAGTTCCTTCCTGACTGGGAAGAGAGCAGCTGTCCTCTTCCAACAAGTGAAGGAAACTATCAAAGAGAATATTAAGGAGCATTTGCTGGATGATGATGAAGACGATGATGATGAGATGAGGAGGCAGAAGAGGGAAGAGAGTGACTCAGAATGCAAGGGCAGCAAATCAAAGCCACTCACACTGTTAGAGTATAACCTAACAATGGACACTGCCAAGCTATTCATGTCCTGTCTTCATGCTTGGGGGTTGAATGAAGGCTTAGATGAGATTTGCCTCATCCGTCTTGGCATGTTAAAACCTCACTGTCCTGTATCTTTTGGTTTGCTGTCAAGAGGAGGACATATGTCGCTGATGCTTCCTGGCTTCAAACAGACTACTTGCAAATCACTAGATGGTGCTATTGAAACAGGGAAAAAGCGAGTTCTGGGAAACAGCGCATACAATGTGTCCAGGGCTGTCACAACCCAACACCTGCTTTCTCTCATTTCTTTAGCCAATACATTAATGAGTATGACCAATGCCACCTTCATCGGAGAGCACATGAAAAAATTACCACAAAGGTGTGAATCATCTCTGTTCTTGTGCAACTAAAGTAAATTCTGAGGAGTATCAATTTTTCATGGAAAAGTATTGCGAGTTAAAGTTGTTTCAATCATGATTTCAGAACTTTGGTAGTTGAATCTGTTTATTTTCAAAATTAATTCTGTGTATAGAGGTAATTTTCTATAAAAGGTTTAAGGAACAGGTCACACATTCTGATTATTGTTGCCAACTGTGACCTATCTTCAGCCATCCCTTTACCTCTGTTTAATCATTTTCTTGTTTCATCATGCTACTTCCCCAGCTCCCATTTGTGACTCTGAAATCTAACATGTGACCCAACCTCGCCACTCAGATTGTGTGTTGGTCAGCATTACAGTCAATATCTACCTGCCTAGGGCTATGACGTGATATATCTTTACAACTTCACCTCTCCATTGTTTTCACAATATCTTCTGCTGTAATATTTTTCTACAGTTTGTCTCCCTAGCATTGCTTTTCAATGGTTCCACGTGCACCTGTGTAATTGCCCACATGGACTCTGTTTTCTTTTTCTTTATTGCCCCTTTTGTCTGTGCAGCCAAATCTGAAGAATGGCGACCATTATCTTTTGGTTCATTCCCTTTTTATTTTCTACCCCTTATTATCTTTAAGTATGTCAGCAACTCCAATATTTACATTAAAATTCAAGTTTTCACTCCACCTTCTTCATTTGGTCTCAAGGTTACCCTCACATTGTCCAACTAATATTGTATGCATTGAGTTCTGTATAAATTGAAATTAACATCAACAAAGGAAAAAGACCATTCCTTTTGGTCTTTGGCCAGCGTCTTCAGACTTCTCCCCTTCTACCCAGTGGCTGTGTTGGACTGAATCCAGGGATGTGGAGTCTCGATGCATTATTTGTTCTCAGGCTAACTTCCTTCTATCTCTGTGATCCATTATCAATTCTGCCTGCCATCCTTTCTGAAATACCATTTGATTTCACCCTATTTCTGCACTGCTATTCTATTTTACACTTTCCCTGTAAATTACGACTTATTCAGTTACTGCAGAACCTATCCTCATTTGTGCAGAATCCTTCTCTGAATTCCAGCATCACCTACGCGTAAATCTGATAACTACCCGGCTGTCAGTCAGGCTTGTGTGGGCTGGAATCCTTCTGTTATTTGATCTTCACCTCAATGTTACTACCGATATGTTAATCCATTATCAATGCCTGCTTTCTTTACATTCAATTATCCACCTTCCAATCCATCCCTGCCACTCAAGCCACTAATGTTGGTAAGTTCTTTTTTCTGCCTGAGTTCATTTATAACCAAGTACATCTCCATGTGTGCGATAGGGACAGACTGATCCAGGCATCCATGATGATAGTGACATTGAGTCTGGTCAAGGAGAATATGCCAGATGTTAGGTGGGTAATGCAGTTAGCAAACAGGATGAATAGAGAATGTTCAGAATTGTAATGCAACTGGCAAAGATGTAAGAAGATCCTGGAGGCACTCCAGGAAGAGAATCCAAAAGGTTTTCATAAGCATATTAATAATAACAAGGTAATAGGAGAAATAGTGGGACAGTTTAAGCAGCAAAAAGTGGTATTTATACCTCAATCGGGCCATGTATAAGATATATTGTAGAATTCTGCCCAGGGTTTATGTTAGGTCCTCTAAAATTCTTTATGTATGTTCTTAATGTAAACTTTGCTATAGAGGGCACAATTTTAAAACTTGAGTGACTCTCAACTTGGAAGTATTGTGAAAAGTGAGGCGGATAGCAATACATTTCATCAGTACTTTGATAGACTATTAGAATGAGCAGACAAATGGCAAATGTTCAGTGTAATGTGGGCAATTGTATGGCAAATGTGGCTAAATGTGAGGTCATCCACTTTGATAGCGAAGGCAGGTTTATTATTTGGTTGCAAATTGAGAAAGGGGAATGTGCATCGAGACCTGAGTATCCTCTTACACCAGTTGCTGCCAGTAAGCATGCAAGTGCAGCGAGCAGTAAAGAAGAAAAATGGTTTGTTGCCTCTCTTTGGCCTCCTTATCTGAGGAAGGCTGCTCTTGCTATAGAGGGAATGCAGCAAAGGTTTACCTGGGATGGCGGGACTGACCTATGAGGAGAGATTGAATGGGATAGGATTATATTCACGCAAGTTTAGAAGACTGATGGGGGAAATCTCATGGAAACTTGTAAAGTTCTAACAGGGCTAGACAGTAGATGTAGGAAGATTATCCCAATGACCAGAGAGTCCAGAACTAGGGGTCACAGTCTGAGGGTATGGAATAAACCCACAAAAAGAAATTTCTTCACCCAGAGAGTGGTGAGACTGTGGAATTTGCTACCGCAGAAAACTGTCAAAGCCACAACATTACATGATTTCAGGAAGGAATTGGATATAGTACTTGGAGTCAAACGAATCAAAAGATATGGGGGAAATGTAGGAACAGTCTGAGTTGGATGATCAACCGTGATCATGACGAATGGCAGAAAGGTCTACTTCTACTCTTATTTCTGTGTTTCTCAGATGTTCTATGTGTACAAATCTCTTGCAGGTTGGAGGGCTGGTTGAGAAAGTAATTAACAATACAGTTAATAAAGTGCACAAAATACTGGGCTTTATAAATAAGGGCAAGGGCAAGGGCATAGTATACGTAAGACCATTAGGAATAGGCCATTTGGCTCCTTGAACCTGCTTCATCGTTCGATAGGATCATGGCTGATCTGACACTCCTCATATTCATTTGCCTACCCTTTTCCCCACAAACCCTGAATTCCCCTACTGATCAGGAATCTATCTATCTCAGCCTTAAATATGTACATATGATGAAGCTGTATGAAACCGTGGTTCACCCTTGACTGTTGTATCCTATGCTTCAAGAAGAATATGAAGACAGAGAGGTCATAGAGAAGAGTGGTTCTGTGGATTCAGAAATCAGTTGTGTGGATAGAGGGGAAAGGGCTACTCTTGGAAAAGAGAAAATTAGAGGATGTTTTAGCAAAGATTTGTAGCTCGGGTTATGGGTGAGGTTGTTGACTTGCACGCCGAGCTGGGCTTGTTTTTGTTCAGACGTTTCATCACCTTGTTAGGCGACATCATCAATGAGGCCTCCGACGAAGCGATGTTATTCTACTCCGTATGGAAGTTATACTGTCTGGTCCGTTATGGTGAGCAGTGTCATTTCCGGTGTTGATCTGTATGGGTTTATATATGGTATCTAATTCCACATGTTTGTTGATTGCATTATGGGTTAAGAACCGTGCCTCTAGGAATTCCAGTGCGTGTCCATGTTTGGCTTGGGCTGCTATGGTTATGTTGTCCCAGTTAAACTGATGGCCTTCATTGTCTGAGTGTACTGATATTGAGAACAGTTTGTCATGTCGTTTTACTGCTAGCTGATGTTCATGTATTCTGATGGCTAGTTTCCTTCCTGTCTGTCTGATGTAATGTTTGTGGCAGTCGTTGAATGGTATTTTGTAAACCACGTTGGTTCTGTGTGTTGTGGGAATGGCGTCTTTAATCCTTGTGATTAGAAGGAAATTTGGTAGAGGTTTGCAAAATAGTGAGGGTTCTAGTCAGAATACATAGGAACTGGAGTTGGCCAATTCAGCCCATTGAGACTGCCCGGCCATTCAATTAGATCATGCCTGAACTTTGACCTCATAGGTATAGGAAGCTGATATCACCATAAACCTTAATGTCTTTGGTCTCCGGAAACTATTGATTGCTGTCTTGAACCTGCTGAATGATTCGGCTTCCACAGACCTCGGGTAGAAAATTGCAAAGTTTCCCCAGTATCTGAGCAAAACAGAATTTCTCCTCATCTTAGCCTTCAATGGCCAGCCACTCATCTTGAAATTATCTTCTCTGTGACTCCCTTGTCCGCTCCACACTCCCCACCAGCCCCACCACTCCTGGCACTTTTCCCTGCAGCCGCAGGAAGTGCTACACCTGCCCCTACACCTCCCCCCTCGCCCCCATCCCAGGCCCCAAGAAGACCTTCCACATCAAACAGATGTTCACCTACACATCTGCTAATGTGGTATACTGTATGTGCTGTTGCAGATGTGGCCTCCTCTACATCGGGGAAACCAAGCAGAGGCTTGGAGACTGCTTTGTGGAGCACCTATGCTCGGTTCGCGACAAACGACTGCACCTCCCAGTCGCGAACCACTTCAACTCCCCCTCCTTGGATGACATGTTCATCCTGGGCCTCCTCCAGTGCCACAACGATGCCACCTGAAGGTTGCAGGAACAGCATCTCATATTCAGCTTGGGAACCCTACAGCCCAATGGTATCAATGTGGACTTCACAAGCTTCAAAATCTCCCCTCCCCCGACCGCATCCCAAAACCAGCCCAGCACGTCCCCGCCTCCCTAACCTGTCCTTCCTCCCACCTATCCACTCCTCCCACCTGAAGCCCCACCCCATCTCCTATCTACTAGCCTCATCCCGCCTCCTTGACCTGTCCGTCCTCCCTAGACTGACCTATCCCCTCTCTAACTCCCCACCTACACTCACCTTTACTGGCTACACCCCCGCCTCTTTGACCTGTCTGTCTCCTCTCCACCTATCTTCTCCTTTATCCAGCTTCTATCCGCCACCCCTTCTCTCACTATTTATTTCAGAATCCCCTTCCCCTCCCCCATTTCTGAAGAAGGGTCTAGACCCGAAACGTCAGCTTTCCTGCTCCTTTGATGCTGCTTGGCCTGCTGTGTTCATCCAGCTCCACACCTTGTTATCTCTTGAAATTATGGTCCTTGTTTCTAGAGTCACCAATTGGGGAAAATGTTCTGTTCACACTCACCCTTTTGTGTCCTGAATAAATTTTGAGTTTGAATGAGCTCCCCTCTCATTCTTCAAAACTCTAGGGAATACAAACCTGGTTTTCTCAATCTCTCTTCGTAAGATGAATTTAAGAACTAGGATCACGAGTAGGCAATTTAGTCCTTTGAGCCTGCTGCGCCATTTAATACAGTCATACCTGATCTCATCTTGGTCTCAACTCCACTTTCTTGCCCACTCTCCACAGTCCTTCAATCTATTACTAATTAAAACTCTATCTCCTCCTTAAATTTATGTAATGTCCCCACATATTCTGGGGTCGTGAATTCCACAGATTCATAACCTTTGAGAGAAATAATTTCACCTTATTTCTGTTTTAAGTCTGATGGTCCTTATCCTAAAACAATGACCTCTTGTTCTAGAGTGCCCCACATGAGGAATATTCTCTCTTGTGTCTATTTTTGTCAATCCCTTTTAGCATCATACACACCTCAGTTAGACTTCCTCTCATTCTTAACTCCAGACAGTATAGGCCTCAACTGCTCAATCTCTGTTCATAAGACAAACCAGCTCTGGAATCAGTCTCATGAACTTCTTCTGAACTGATTCCAAAGCAACGATGTTCCTCCTGGAGTAAAAGGAGCCAATATCCTACACAGTACTCCAGGTGCCATCTCACAATTCCCTTGACAGGTGCAGCAACACTTCCCTAATTTTACACTATTCTTTTAACAATAAATGCTAAAATACTATTTGCTTTCCTGGTTACCTGCTGTAGCACATAACAGTTTCTGTGGTTCATGCCTGCTGGTAGTAAGGTCAAGAAGCACAGGACACCAGTGAAGGCGATTGGTAAAAGAAATAATGTTGACATGGATAGGATCTGAAATGTCCTGTCTGAGTTTATGGTGAAAGCAGATTCAATTGAAGTCTTCAGACAAGAGTTGGATAATTATCAAAAGCAACAACATTTTCAAGGCTAAAGAGAAAATGACTGGGAGTGTAACCTGGTGAGTTCTATCTTCCAGAGATCTAGCACAGAGCATGATTACTGCCCAGAATGAGGCAATCTTTTGTTCTATGATGTAATAACATTTATGGAAATACTCCACTGTCTGTCATAAGACATTGCACTGAGGTCATGTCTGCTCTCTTTAGTTGGAAAAGGAACAGGGGAGTTGTTGTGAAGATTTATCCTAATCCAACACATAAAACAAGTAATCAGTTATTCAATTCTTATTTGTGAAAGCTTGCTGAGATTTTCACACACAACAGAAGCTGCATTTCGAATGAAAGGCATTGGTTGCAAAGTGTTTTGAGGCATCCTGAGGCAATGAAAGGACAGGAGATAGGAATAATAGTAGACCATATAAGCTGTTGTACTTGCTCTGCCATTCAGTCAAATCGTAGCTGATCTTGATCTTCAATTCCACTTTCCTGCCTGCTCCCCAGGTATCTTGATTCTTGGAGACACCAAAAATCTATCTCTCTTGGCTTTAAATATAATTATCAATGGAGAACCCATGTTTCCGTTAGACAGAGAATTCCCAAAATTCAAAACCGTTTGAAGTTTCTCCTTATCTCAGTCTTAATGTTCAAACTCTTATCCTGAAACTCTTCCCCTGTATTCCAGACTCTGTAGGCAGGAAACAACCTCTGCATGTCTAACCAATCATGGCCCTTTCAAATCTTTAGTGCACTAATGGGATCACCTCTAATTCTGGTAAACTCCAGAGAAAACAGGCCTACTTCACTCAGCCTCTCATTATGGGACAGTTCCCTATAACCGGAACTAATCTTGTAACTCTACTCTATATGACCTCCACTGTGTAAATGCAAGTTTGCTTTTGATTTTTATGGATCCTTCCACCCATTCTGTGAAGAAACTTCACTAGCCATATGTTCCAGCTGAATTTAATGTTTGTACGCCGTCTTATCAGATTAGTTTATTTGCCATTCCATTGATGCCTGGAATTAACTCCAAAGCCATGTACCTTTCTGTTCTCCTTACTTCTAATTTTTAAAAAAATGTCGTGTTTTTCAGTTCAGTTGAAATTTTAGTTGGCTAAATTTCCTCCAGACTTGATTTCCACCTTCCCTTTTGTACAGGACTGTGAAGCTCTTTTACATGAGTGTTATATGAATCTGACCCAAGTATGTTTCCTTAGTAGAGTATTGCTGAACAGGTTTATGCATTGAGTGAAGTATTCACACTTTATATTTCAGAATTTTAATGGTTACAGTATGAGTGATTGTAATCAAACCAAATTGAGGACGCACAAAAGGAAATGGAAGTTTGTAAGGTGTAGCTTGCTGTGCATCAACAAGCGACCAATGCAGGTCACCGTAAATAGGAACATTTTGCCCAAAATGTGGCTTTGTTGTATCCTTCAGGAAATTTCCTGGAATGCCAGATTTGAAATTTTAAACACCTAATGTTTGATTTTGTGGAAGATTGCCAGCTCTGCATGAAGCAGCCAAAATTTGCCCACAAATAATTCAGGTTCCATTAAGTAATAGCAACAAGAATTGCACAGCTTCAAAGAGAAACTACATTGACTTGAGCACCTACTTAAAACTAACACTGCACCTATTTCAGTGCAACAAAACAGGTGAAATCAAACCATTATCTAGTTCATTTTTCTGAAGAATGCTTGAACAATCAGAATTTAAATGAAGCCTGACATTTAACCACCAATTATCACATCTGCTGCATTCTCCATGACAACACCTCTACCAATCAGAGTCCACTTGTAAACCAAAACTATTCTTCTCTTATAAACTATAAATGTTGTTTTACCTCTACATTACATTAGTATTCTTGTGAGTTGTCCTGATGAGTGCAAGATAAAAAGCTTCACGAAAGTGTGACATTTTCAGCAACACTCAATATTTATAGAATTAAATGTCCATACTAGTTTTAAAAGTTTCATAACAAAATAAATGAAATAGTGCATTTCATATTACCTGTATTTCTTGATGCTTAATGTTCCAAGAAAGATAAAACAGTATATTACACATAGGCCATTATGTACGGCTAATATAGGGCAGACTTGAAAGCCATGATGGTTATCTTTTCAATTTGGCAGCTATGTAATTGAGAGAAGTGAAACAGCAAACCCCCTAACACATTTCAACACATTTAATGGAAAAAAAATTGCAGGGAGACTTCAGAAAAAAAATTTGTTTTTGTTGAGAACTAAGCTAAATCTATTGCATTATCAAAGCTGCAATTAAAGTTTGAGTAAAGTTCAAAACAGCAACAAAGCCAAAAAAAAGGCTGTGATACTTCTGTTTTCCCAGAATTATATTGGTTTAATTTCAGGAAGGCAATATTAAAATATTATCCCTAAAAATGCATTTTTATTTGAATACATCAGAGTTTTGGCTTTTCATCCAAGGCATAAAAGATAGTCTAATCTTCATGGTCTATCTATTATTTATTTCTTTATGGTATATTTGGGAAATTTATAATAAATGCTAACATTAAACTTGTCTTTCTGATATTATTGTGTTCACAATGAGTATCTTACGGGACACCATGTGAACATGACTTGACTGATTCGGTTTTAGGAAATAGTAAATGCCTTTTTTCATGTAATTTGGAGTATCCATTTTAATAACTTTTAAATCTGGACTGCTGCGGAGAATAGTTTTCTCTAAGTTGTGTGCTGCTTTTAAATCAAATGGGTTGTAACTATAAACCTCTCGTTATCTAGTGATTTGTTGATGAGCTGGGTAGACGCTAAATTTTACAACATTTGACTGATATGGTAGAGCTTCAAATCCTGAACATCAAGAAGGCTTGACCTGTTTCAAAGTCTGTAATTAATATTTGATTGTTATTCCTTGCAGACCACAGAAACCAAGCACCCTGGAGATGACTAAAGGGAAACCTTCCCCTCCAGTGTCTTTCACTGCTGTACAGGGACAGATCAAACAAGGTAACTACAAAGCAAAGCTCTGAGAGGAGGACAGAATTAAAATGATGGAGGGTAGTCTGAATGCACTGTGTGAAATTATTTCTCTTCTGTCTTCTGTTGTTGAAAAAAATCCTACCTTACTGAAAGACTGAAGTTAAGCAGTGTGTTTGTCTATGTATTTATGTTTGAAGTTTTTATCTATCAAAGTACCAGAGAGATTTAAGTAATGTGATTCATATAGAATATATAGGAGGTAAATGTGCAATGTGAACCTTGTTTGCTGTAGATTACTTAGTCAGGTTTAATAGCATATTTGGCTGCTATTCCATTATTAGCATATCCAATGCTCAGTTTATTTTAAGTTCAACTCTGGGGCAGATGAAGCTCAACAAATAGGACGTCCGTGAAGTTTGTTCATTGACCACTTTGTGAATGTGTGAATTGCCTTTCTTTTGAATCTAAAAGTCTGTCTTTTGACATGGGAAAATGTTAAGAGTCCATTATAAAGGATGTACTAATAAAGTTTTTAGAAATGCATGACATAACCAAACAGAGTCAACATGACTTCATGAAGGGAAACCATGCCTGACAAATGTATTACAGTTCTCTGAGGAGGTAACAAGCAGGATTTTCAAAAGGCATTCAATAAGATACCACACATAAGACTATTAAAGACAAAAGTCCATAGTTTCGGGGCAGTATCTTAGCACAAATAGAGGATTGGCTAACTAACAGAAGACCGAGTTGAGGTAAAGGGGTATTTTCAGGATGACAGCATTCCACTAGTTGAGCACCACAGGGACCAGTGATGGCTTCACAATTATTTACAGTCTCTGTAAGTAACTTGGCTGAGGAAAGTGAATGTCACATTTACAGATGACGCAAAAATAGGTGAAAAGGCAAGTACTGAGAGGCACAAAAGAGTCTATAGAGGAATTTATACAGGTTGAGTGAGTGGGTGAAAACTTGGTAGGTGGAATATCATGTAGGAAAATGTGAGGAAGAATAGAAAAGCTGAATATTATTTAAATGTAGAAAGATCACAGAAAGCTGGAACACAGGAATTTGGGGATCCTTGTGTATCGGGCATAAAAAGTTAGCACTCAAGTTCAGCTCTAATAGAGAAGGCAAATGTTATGATTACATTTATTTCAAGGGGAATGGAGTATAAATACAGTTTTTGCTAAAACTGTACAAGCCAGTAGCCAGACCATACCTGAAATACTCTCCACAGTTTTGGTCCTTTATCTAAAGATACATTGGCATTGAAGGCAGTTCACAGAAAGTACACTAGGCTCATTCTGGGTTTGAAGAGATTTTCTTATGAGGACAAGTTGCATAGGTTGGGCTTCTACTCCTTGGAGTTTAGAAGAATGAGAGACAAGCTTATAGAAACATGCAAGATTCTTAGAAGGCTTGACAGAATAGATGAGGGGAGATTGTTTCCCGTCAGTGGAGATCTTGTAGGACCAGAGGACATAATCTCAAAATAAGGCATTAGCCATTTAAAGTAGAGGTGAGGAAGATGGTTTTCTTTGAGGAAGTCAATCTTTGCAACTCTTCACTGCAGATGCTGTTGAGGCTAGATCATTAAAATATTCAAGGTTCAGATAGACATATTTCTAATCCGTAAGGGAATCAACAGATCAGGCAGGAAAAGGTGTTGAGGATTATCAGAACAGCCATAATCTCATTAAATGGCAGAGTAAATTCAAATAGCTAAATGGCCTCCTGCTGCTCCTATGGCTGTTTTATGGTCTCTTGAATATGTTGCATTCAGCATAGACCTTTAATGCTGCAAATAATTAAAATATCATAATTAAAAAAGGAGGAAGGCAGCGCAAATAACATCAATGAACAAAACTATTATCAGCTGTAGTATACCTACAAAATCGTCAACAAGTCATGGAACAACAACTTCCCATTCATTTTTGTGTTTCAAATCATTCTCAAATGCACCTTTTCCTGACTATAAAAATTGAAAGTTTAAAACCTAGCCATGTTATATAGTCTGCACATAAATTGTTTTTTATTTGTGTGACTAAAAATTAAGCTATTGAACCTATTGCGTCATCTTCGACAAGGAAAACATTGCAGTTGCCTTGGTCTTTATAATGGGAAAAATGTCTTCTGTGTTGTATAGAATTACCTGTGTATGCTGTTCTTATCAAACTTAAGTCACCATCAGCTACTTCAACCCCAAACATTGTAATTCTAATTTGCCAGACAAACTGGTTTTGCTCCATCCCTGTTTCAATGCAAGCCTTGTATTCTGTTCAGCTGCTTAACTCCTGTGCTTATGTTGCATTCCTAACAAAATTGCTTTGTTCTTCCTGATATTTTAAAATTATTATTAATTCTTGGCATGTGGGTGTTTCTGAAATCAGCATTTATTGCCCATCCAGTAATTGCCCTGGAGAAGGTGGTACCAGAAGGCAGCTCATCACTGCTGTAGCACATGGTGTGTGGGGACACCATATTGCTAGGAAGGGAGAACCAGGATATTGACCCAGTGACAAGTCAGAATAGTGTGCAGTTTGGAGGGGAACTTACTCGTCTTAATGTCTCGACGCATCTCATGCCCTTGTCCATCTAGCTAATGAAGATTATGGTTTGGAAGGTGCTGTTGGAGGAATTGTAGTGAGTTACTGCAGTACATCCTGTAGATGGCACACATTTCTAACACTCTACTTAGTGGTGAAGGGAGTGAATGTTGAAGGTGGTGGATGGAGTGTTAGCCAAGCGGATTGCTTTGTCCCAGATGGTGTAAAGCTTCCTGAGCATTGTTGGAGCTGCACTTATCCAGGCAAGTGAAGAATATTCCATCACATCCCTTATTGTGCTTTGCAAATGATGGAGAGGCACTAGGCACCAGTGATGAGTTACTCACAACAGAAGTCCTAGCTTCTGAACTCTTCTTGTAGCCACAGTATTAATATGGCCAGTCCAGTTCAATTTCTAGTCAACAATAATCCCAAAAAGGTGAGATGCTTAGATTCTCTCTTGTTGGAGATGGTTCTTTCCTGGCACTTGTATAGTGTTCATGTTGCTTGTGACTTCACCGCCTAAGGCTGGATGTTGTCCTGGTATTGCTACATATGGACAACAACTGCTTCAGCATCTGAGCTGTCATGAATACTGGTGAACATTGTGTAATCATGAGCAAGCATCCCCACTTCTGACTTATGATATAGATAAGGTCATTGAAACATATGAACTTACAAATAGGCGTAGACCATTGTGCCCTTTGAGCCAGTCCTTCTGCAGTTTCCACTCTCACTTCCTTCAGGATCCTCGAATGCATCTCATCTGATGTTGGTGCTTCATCACACTTAAAATACCTCGCAATTGCTAGGTTAATCTTTGCATTCAGATACTGAAGATTCTTATTCAGTCTTGATATACTTTAAAAGCTACAGCAAGTATCATACAAATATTTAAAACATTTATATTTTATAACAAAACCAAAAACACCTTTATCCATTTTAAACCGTCTTAATAACTGATCTGTCCCCACAGCCTAGGCGGCATCTGATTTGTAGGTGAAGACAAATGCACAGTGTTCATTTTAACACCACGTCATGCTTTTTGCCTTGAAGTGTGAATACCTTTTCCTCCACAACCTACTTTTCTTCAAAGAGAGCAGCCCCAGTTTCTTCAGTATATCCTTGTTACAGTGATTTCCTGTCCCTGTAAAAATTATCAGAAATCTTTCCTTCATCTCTTTAACATCTTCACATTCTTCCTAACTTGGACACAATATTGAAGTTGAGTTTTAAACAGGACCAGTTTTTTTTAATACGTATTAATGACTTAGAGTTGGGTGAACAGGACATAGATTCAAAATTTGTAAATTTCACTCAACTGTGAGGATAGTAACAGACATCAGGATGACAGATTGGCTGGTGGAAGGGGAGGTCATATAACAAATGAAATTTAATGCAAAGAAGTATGAAATTGGTTTGTTACAAAATATAAATGAAGGGGGTACACGAACAGAGACCTCAGTGTCTATGTGCACAAATCATTGAAAGTGACAGGAGAGATTGAGAAATTGGTTAGAAGGGTATTCAGATTGCAGGGCCTAATAAATAGAGGCGTAGATTACAAAAGTAAGGAAGATAATGAACACATTGATGGGTACTGTGTAGTTTTAAATATTTGTATGATACTTGCTGTATCTTTTAAAGTATATCAAGACTAAATAAGAATCTGAATGCAAAAATCAACTTAGCAATTGCAAATCAGTCAAATTTCTGTTGTAGGGATATGTTTAGAAACAATTATTCAAGATAAAATTAATAATTACATAGATAAGTGTGGATTGATTTGGAAGAGCCAGCATAGATTTAATGGGAAAATCATGATGAACTAACTTATGGAATTATTTGAAGAGCTAACAGAGGAGGATGATAAGGGGAAGGCTGTTGGTGTAGTTGCTATTCATGGATTTCTAAAAGGTGCTCGATGCAGTGCCACACAACAGAATTGAGAGGAAAGTTATGGATCAAGAAATAAACGGGTCAGTAGCAACATGGATACAAAGCTGGCTGAGGGATGGGAAATGAGAAAGTAATAGTTAATGAGTATTTGTCAAGTTGGAGTAAAGTTTGTAGTGGAGTTCCCCAGGGGTTAGTATTCATTTCCTGATATGTTAATTAATCTGGACAATTTCAACATTTGTGGATGATGCAAAGCTTGTAACCATTGTGAACTGTGAGGAGGACAGTATAGAACATCAAAAGATATTGACAAGTTGAGCAGATAGGTGGCAGCTGAAGCTCAATGCAGAGAAATATGAGGTGATGCACTTGGAAAGAGAGTATAAAATAAAGGATACTTCTTTTAATAGGGTACACAAGAACAGAGAGACCTGGGTATATGTGCATAAATCATTAAAAGTGGCAAAGCAGTAGGGAGAGCTTTTAATAAAACATACAGTACTCTAGACTGTATAAAAGCAGACAGAGTGTAGATGAGCTGTGAGGGTATGATGAACTTATATAAGACCTAATTAGAAT